GCACTTTGGCGACAGTGGGAAGGAAAAACTCCCTTTTAACAGGAAGAAACCTCCAGCAGAACCAGGCTCAGGGAGGGGCGGGGCCATCTGCTGCCCTGTGGTGAATGACGCAGTGATTAGACGTGCCACTTCACAGTAGGGCGGATCCCAGAAGCACAGGATTTCCACCTCCATGTCTGCTGTGGGGACTTTGGGTGGTGCTCACGCTGGAGCAGTGGGACAAGCTGATGCCAGTCACATGCAACGTAGAACGTTTGTTTGTTCCGTCTTCTTCTACTAGAATCAAACTACCCTAAAAATGAGAAACTGTTCATTTGTTTTTAAGCTTACAAAGTCAGAAGGGGATCGAATAAATAATTTTCTCTCTGTAGTTAAAGTTGGTGAAATACACAGGAAGAAATATCCAATAAATCACTGAATCTACGGTTTAATGTGACTGAGTGGTTTCAGTGGTACGACTATAGAAGCACTGTATAAATATCAGTCCATTAGTTAGCTGGGTAGGTAGGTGACACAAACACAATCATCAGTCCGTTTCTTTGGCAATGACCAACTTTTGGTTTCTTTCTACATGATGCTACAGTTTCAGTAAACCTGTGATATATTGCTGGTTACTATGAAGTGCTTCCCTGCCTTTGCCCTGTGTAGTCTGTTCACATAGGGAGTCCTCGTCTGGAGCCTCCCAAGCCAGAGAAGCAGTTCCTGATCTCGCCTCCTGCTTCCCCTCCAGTTGGCTGGGAGCAGGCTCAGGACGCCACACCGGTCATCAACTATGACCTGCTTTGTGCCATCTCTAAACTGGGGCCAGGTATACAATATGATTTTCCATCTGTGTGTGAATGTGTGACAGGTTTGTAAAACACAATCGACACTTCCTGCAGCCTCAAATGCAAACTGAAGCGGAGTGGTACATGATTTAAAGCGGCGTTCCTCTTCTTTTAACCTTTTTATGTCTTCCTTCATTTAATTCTCGATAAATTCATCATGACTGATTACAAGTGTGTGAGATTGTCTCCACACTGATATTGACATCAACGCCTACAACTCAAAGTCAGGAGCCAGGCAGCAATGACTGCCAGCAGAACTGCAGACAGGCGTCGTGTTTAGAGGGAAACACCGAGATCAGAGCATCGTCACTGAAACAAAATTAAGTGCTGTCCCTGCTGCACTGAAAAGAACAAAAATAATAAAGAGAAAAACTATAAAATGAGATTTAAAAAGGACAAAAGAAGCATCTGTTGCACTTCAGGAGCTGCGCTGTGGTAGGTTCTCATTGCAGTGTTTCATTTCCACTTTGTTTAGCAGGGACCACGTAAAACAAAACAATCTAAGAGAAAAGATGTCACAGGTATCGATGACATCACGTAAATAGAGCAACAGTGCATACTAGATTACTCAGGAAGCTGAGTCCTGAATTATGATGCAAACCATTCACACTGAGGTCTTCAAGGTCAGTTTAATGATCATTGGTCAATAATTGACTAAAAGGCTTAGAAACTATCATTATTACAAACACAGTGTGAACATATAGAAGGTATTGCAGATAAGATTTAAAAGATTTAAAGATTTAAAATATGTCACATTTGACCTCTGACCTCTTTTTCATGGTCAATAGATAGATCTGATGGTAAAAGTCATAGTTTTAAATGGCACTTTATTATGTTTCTTACTGCTCTTGTTTATATTGAATACATATAGGGATTCTAAATATCACGTTACTTTTGACCTCTGACCTCTTTTTCAAGGTCAAACTTTCATGAAATGTGGGGGAGGTTCTATAAATTAATGCTTGTCTTGTGCATGTCACACAATCCATTATTATTATTATTATTATTATTATTATTATTGTTATTGTTATTATGTGTTAGTGAAAGTCAACATCACAGCTTTGTATAGCCGTACAGGCTCCTCGAGAGAACGGGACGCTGAGCTCAGGGGAGTGATGGGAAACCCTCACTTCATGCACGTCTGCTAGCATAGACACACAGCACATTTAAAAGCAGTGAGGATTAGAAACCTATATCAACAAATGTTTCTGGCACAACTTCACCTTCTTCCAAGGTGCACGGAGAAGACAAAGATCTGATGACCTGAAGACTCCAGCAACACTTAAAGTAATCCGGTCTTTAAGTGATGACGTGACGAATCCTGCTTCCAAACTGCTGTGTTCACTAAGGCTGTTGTGTTTTAACTTGTTTTAATGCTTTTTATCTTGTTCTATTTAATCTACAAGCCTACAAACAGTCAGTGGTCACTGTCGGCCTCTCTCGGTTTTTATTACCGCTAATCATTTTAAAGTTCAGTTTTTAAACCCTTACAGTGTAACTACAGCCCATGCAGCAGTATATGAATGACTAACCTCGTATTGTGGATGGATTATCTCAGTTGTTCTCCTGCTGAAGTTTGGTCCTTTTACAGCATCCTGCCATGCGACTGCATTTGTTCCTGACCACCGAGAACCCTCACGTTAACTTTCATCGAGTGGGAAAAAGTTAGCGTTCATCCTCCAGTTTCACTGTGTTTATGCTAACATAGCTGTGTCGCTAGCGGTCACGTAGCACAACATTATATAGCAGCTAGCCCAACTTCAGTAACCCTACAAACGTCACTGCTGTTTAGTTTTGTCTTCATTTATGTTGAAGTGATAGCAGAGCTGTACGTTTGAATTGTTTCAGAAATCTCTCAGTCAGAACATGCTATATCATGTTTAGGTGGAAGCTAGCGTGCTAACGTCCTGCTAACGTCCTGCTAACTTCCTGCTGACTTCTAACTCCATTAAATGTAATAAATTCTGTTTTCATGGATGCCTCGATGTTAAACTTAAATGTTACACCTGGTAAAGCAGCAACACTGATCATTTTATTAAAGATGAAAGAATTTAGACAGTTTTTAACTCTCAGTAATGCCGCAGTGATCATGTGACTTTGGGACCTGCAGCAGAGTTTAGGCCCGGGAACGGCTAATGACGTCAGACTTACAGACCGGATAGGGGCGGCTTTACTAAGTGACCAACACGTTCAGGCGTGTGGCCTTCAATGACCCCGATGAAGGCCACACCCCGAAACACGTTTGTCACTTAGTAAAGCCGTTCCCTATTACTTTAAATGTCACTGGAGTGTTCATTACAAATTACAAACGTATAACATATGGACTATTTGACTGTTGAAACTCTTTAGACTGGTCCTGTTGCAGCTCCACATGCTAATGCTATGTTCACACCACCAATGTCAGAGTTAAGAAGTAAAGGTAGTGGGGGTTAGGAGTTGGTGTGCTGATGCTGTGTCGGCTGATGTGGCTAAAGCATCTAGATTCTGCCTCCAGATAGAAAAGCAATGTTTCCTGAAACTGATTAAAATAGTTTCCTTGATACATTTGAAGTTACCAGCTGATGTCGGACAAAATGTCCTCATTGACGTCTAAGCCTGAGATCATCAGGTCGTCGGCATCTTGACAGCTTTGTTCTCCATTTTGCATCATCTCTGTCGCTGAAGAGGGAAACATCATCACTGCACAGTGACTTGCTACATTGTAGCACGCCGCGTGGGAAATGTCCTCCAATTTGACCATTTTTGTGTTGTTCTTAGGGGGGAAGTACGAGCTTCACACAGCAACACCAACCACTCCCAGCGTGGTCGTCCATGTGTGCGACGACGAACGCGGCGACAGCTCGGCACCCGACGACAGCGACCAGGATGACAAGCCCCGCCCACCACGACCAAAGATCATTCAGACTCGACGGCCTGACTACACACCCAGAGTTGAGCAGTGAGCGGTGTTTACGGGGGAATCTGTGCTGTGTCAGCGCCGCCAACGATCAGCAGCCGAACACGCTCGCAGAGGTTGGGATGAAGCTGCGAGAGAAGGCGTCTGCGGGCGCTGCAACATCCGGCTGAAGCAAACGATTAGAATTGCATGCTGCATTTGTGTCGACAGACCGAAGAGGGAAATGGTTTAAATGGACTTACTGTGCGACTGTTGATATCTGGTGCTCCATTTGTCTGTTATTGAGGTGTGAAGCAACCCGCTTCAGCTTTTTCACATTTTCGTGGCTCGTGTGCTCACTAGCATGGAGTCATGACGGCGTCCATTGCTCTGTTGTCTGATGTATCTGCTTGGCCTAAACGAAGCTGCTGTCTTACAGTCTTTGCTGCGACTCAGTTTTGATTCCTGGAATTCTCT